TTCCTGCTACACTTGTTGTAAACCTTGACATCAACTTTGAAAAAACTTTTTAAAGCTAGAACCCCAACCGTTGAGACGACTAGAAAATAGATAACAAATCCTATATAACTGTTAGTCAGTTGCTATACATCAGTTTTCAGTATACCATGATGATATTAGAAAGATTGTATTGCGCCAGTGGATAGGTCTCTTTTATAAATCGGCAATTGGTAGGATGTTTCTCTGATCTCTACAATCTTAAACTCTTCAAGTCTAGGGTTAACTGTTATCTCTCCTACATAACCCGACTTGCCAGCTGTTGCTTCAGAATACGCCGATTGCATGAGGTGTCCTGGGTAAGACGATAAACTACATCCGACAGCAAGGCCTCTGATCAGAAGGTTTTGAGGAGCGTAGAACCACCTCTTAATTGCTAATGTTCCCAGGTTCACACTGACCCGGAGTGGTATCACCTGTTGGGCTCTAAACTATGGGCAAATATTTAACCCTAAACAGGGGTCAAAACGTTACCAAAATGTAATAGGTTTTAATACAAGCAATACATTTTTGTAAAAGATTTAAAGAAAAATATATTACCAGCAATACGTCTTTAATGAAAAAGAAAATATCCCCAACATTACATGTTTGGAAAAACAATATTACCAGCAATAATAAACTTGTCAGCATTAAATAACCCATTGATGTGTTGATATGCCGTAAAACAAAACAAACCTAAACAAACTCATAATATGCACACTTGCTTGCTTTATAGACGCCCTTACAATCTCTCCATTTAGTAGCCCTATAACTTGAGTGGCTTTCTGGCCTTTGCTTTGATGAAAAATAGTTAACAAAGGCTAGTAATCATCAACCTAATAAATACAGGCTACGATGGGTAAATTGTTACGATTTTATATTTTTAATTTCGCGCATGCGCATTGTTTTCGAATTTGTCGACTGCACAGTAGCAGGGTCAGTTGGGCACCGTCCCATGACGCAACTCACTTCACCAGAAATTTGGAAATGGCATGCTGTACTAATTGGCATTCGTGCCGGAATTTCCAATACGAACATTTCAGAGTGTTTGGGTGTCAATCTGAGTACGATCCAGAGGATTCGGAAAGAGTTGGATGAGTTTAATGGTGATTACGAAGGTAGGGCAGCTCGGAAAACTCACTTTGATCGTTCTGATAACAGAACTCCCTAACTTGTTGATAAGGGCCTTAGACACAACACGGATGCCTCCATCAAGTCCCTTGAGGAGGTAGTGCCGATTTCGCTCAACATCTGGCCATCTAACTCCCGAAACCCTCTTGATTATTATGTATGGAACGCATTTGAGCAAGAAACCAGCAAAACTCCTTGTGACACCAAAGATAAACTGAAGGCAAGGAGTATAGCAGCACTCACCAATTTAAACAAGGAGACCGTTCAGAAGAGTTGCAGGAGATTTCGAAGTCGTCTGGAAGCCGTGCTTGAAGCCAATGGTGATTTTTTTTTTTTTTTTTTTTTTTTTTTTTTTTGAATAAATTTACTCTTTTTGTGTAAATTTGGTAAATATTGCTGCTAAAATGAGATGTCGATGTTATTTTCATTATTGCATACTTTAGATGACAATTTATACATCGCACCCTGTACTTTGTATCAGACACTTTCAATATCCAGAGTATTCTATGCCGATATGAGCTTAATTTAAAAAAAAAAAAAAAAGGTTGCCTACCATAAATGAAGACCGCTCCTCTTTCTGGTCATTACTCGATCTCTTACGTCTGGGTATGACGATAAACTACATCCAGCAGCAAGGCGATTGGAGGTTCTAAGGATCGTAGCACCTGTAAGCTTCCCAACTATGAGCTAATAGTGAACCCCCAAGCAAAAATCAACATTACATTTTTTTATAGTAAATTATAGTAAAATTACCGGCAATACATTTAATCATCTAAAAACTATAAGCAACCTCCACAGTATAAAATTATGTACAAACTATCTATAGTTGAAGGCATAAAATTGTATTCTAAATATTTAGATTTCGGCATTAGGGGTTGAAATGGCGCTAAACAAAATCAATCAATAATCGATCTTTTATTAAAGGCTTTGGCACCTTGTGTTAGACTTGAGTAAGTTTAATATCTATTTATATATACGACGACACTTGTCATTGTGAATTTCTCTAATAGCTTTTTTGTTCCCAATAAGTTTTTTTGACATACACCTCTGTGCAAATTAATTGAAACAAAACGAATAATTCCGTTATTATTTACTTTATTTTCGTATTTTTCCACTGAAACATGACCCAGTGCACATGTTAGTATGTCCATTCCACGAAGTCTTTACTTACAGATTGATCAGATACTCGATTGGATTTAAATCAGGAGTGTTTCCCGGTCAGTCTATTGTACTTTTACTCACTGTTAAGGCGTGCAACGTTACAATTTCCGTACGCTTCCTTGGAGTAACGTCCATCGCAGACAATTGCCGTAGGACAACTAATCGACAGTCGAGACAATAGTGTCTGGGCGTGATGGAAATCTAATGTAATCACGGATGACGCAATATTTTTCAAGGCTAAACAAATTTCAACATACACTCTGAAAACAGATTCATATTACTGCACACCACTGCAAATGACCTAATCCGAGGAAAAAAAAATAGAATTCGATTACACCCTCTAATTCCGTATGGTGAAAGAAAAGAAACTAAAATGGTTATTTCAATGAATTTGTACAAAGCTGTAGTTTCTTTTTCTGTCCTTTTTCTTCTGACTCATGTATCCCCTTTGGTCTCTGGCAGTTGACCTTGTAAACAGGGGTCAAGTACTTTTGAATGACATCACTTTACAGAATGCCATAAAGAGAGGTACCAAAGTTTTTTAAGAGAACTGTCAGTTAAATGCCTATATGCTTAGGCAGTCATGTCTTTTTTTCTCTTAATGACTGTCAAGGCAGATTTTCCCGCAGTAAGGTGTCGTTTCTTTCTGCAGTAGACTGGTTGCCAACCAAGGCTATATTATCCAGTCTTTCCCAAGAGGGGTGGAAAAGAGATAGATTCATGCTTTTCCCAGGGGTAGTTGCGCGTAAGTGAATGTAACAAACCCGACTGGAATTCGAACTCGGCTCTCTCATTCCGAGTCGTTACTCATGACATCACAACGAGCATCCCAAGGGTGAATATCCAAAATTAAATACATTACCTGGAGGTAAAAAGCCAGAAGATATGTAATATCTTTTCTTATCATCGTATGTAATTCTGACAATAGAAATATGTTCTGAGTATAAACAATTATAGTAGACTTAATTCAGTAGTTTTAGTAATCCATTATTGTTGACCTTGTGTCAGACAATGCAAAACTGGGGGAAAATGGAGCATTTAGTCTCGTAATATCGTCTTTGTTTCATATTCTAAACTAATCAATCTACTCAGTAAATTTTAGCACAAGCTCCTAAGTAGCTCACTGACTTCTCATCTCTCTCTTGTCGTCACTAAACCCTTGTGAGGGTTAAGTTTCCTAAGTTTTCCTTTTTCACTATGTGTCAAGGAATTTCAGCTGTCTTTTCCTGATTTTGAGTATGTGTTCTTTCTGTTGTCATTTTCTTTAAGACTTGCTTGTTGCTTACTCGGTCTGTTTGTGGAATTCTCAGTATCCTTCCGTAGAACCACATTTCTGCTGCCTCGTTTCCTCCTCATCCGTTGGGAGATTCACTCTCATATAAGAATATGGATATCACATAGCAATCCAGCACTCTTTTCTTTATTTCTAATATTTTTCCATTTTTAGCTTTTGGAATGTTTCTTTTGCTAGTCAAATGTGTGTTTGGATCTCAGTGTCACATTTTCCATCCCCTGTTAAAACACTTTACAGATATTTGAACTTCTCATCATCCTTTTATCCTCCTCCTCATTGTCATCCCTTGACTTTTGTAATCGTAGGCGGGAATACAAATGTAGATGTCATATTGAATCTCCTCCACAACAGTCCATCAGCGGCAGCCATCAACAATTCTGGTATAGTTGTCCAGTCAGTTTTTGTATTAGCATCCTCTCCTACGTTCCCCTTCAACTGTGCTTTGCCTGATGATCTTGCACAGGCTGTCGTACCTTGTAACTTTTCCAAACCACACCATTTTTCTCCATTAAGAGTGGCAAGAAGAGGTTTCCAGTGGCCCACAAAACTTTCTACACTTTTCCCCACAAACTGGTTTTATATTCACAATGGAAGATGCCAAGGAGTTTTCCCATGAATTTTTCCTCAAACGCTTGAATTCTTTTCTCTGTTTCCGCCAACTGTCCACGTTTCACATCCATATAGGAGAATGGAGACACCAGCGATTTGTACATTTGTACTTAAAAAAAAAAACCTTTAGCAAAACCATATCTGTTACTTGAAGTCACTCCATCTGTGTGTTAATGTGCAATTATATCAATAAACTTTAATAAAATTTTGGTGACTGATTAAAGATTCGTTCATACCGTAGAGCATATGCATTTTTCTATTCGTCATTAAGTCATACTGTTTAACCTTTTCCCTTAAAGCAATCTCTTTTGTACCTTCTCTTTGGCATATCCAAATTGCCGACATTTTTCTTGTAGCTTGGGCAATTAAGTATTACAACATATGAAATCTTTATTTGTGGTGGTGGTGGGGGGAGCTCAGATAAGTAAAACCGCAGATAATCTTCCACTTTTTAATGTCTGTTATAAGGTCAGTTATTTTTGAGCAACTGAACTGACCTCTAACCAGCAACACAGTCACGTTTAGTATTACTCAGTCGCAAGAAGTTTTTATATGCGTTTGTCTCTCATGGCAGAACAAAGCAAATCAGGTCAATTTAGTGACTTTCAGTGTACAACAAAGGAACGATGCCAAGTACTTCTTTGTCCTGATGGGTAATTACCGCGCAGGCTCGGCTTGTAACGACTCATTCGTCATCACTTGACTTGAATTTGTCTTTGATGAGCAAGAATTACACACCCACTTCCCTCAACTGACCATTTCCACTCGTTTGAACACCAGCAAAGGTGTAATGCATGAGTACACACAAAGAAGACATATAACATTTTCCTGCTCATTTTCTTTCATATATTTTGGTCTTCTTTCTTTTCTCTTCTCTCTCCATTTTCTACTCTCTCTCTATCTTTTTTTTTTTTACAACTCTTTCTCTCTCTCTTACCTCTCTCTCTCTCTCTCTCTCGATTCCTCTCTCTCTCTCTCTCTCGACTCCTCTCTCTCTCTCTCTCTCGACTCCCCTCTCTCTCTCTCTAGGACTCCTCTCTCTCTCTCGACTGACCTCTCTCTCTCTCTCTCTCTCTCTCTCTCTCTCTCTCTCTCCTCTCTCTCTCTCTCTCCTCTCTCTCTCTCTCTCTCTCTCTCTCTCTCTCTATATATTTCTCTCAAGTCTCTCTCTCTCTCTCTTTGTCCTCTCCTTCTCTCTCTCTTTAAAATATCTCTCTCTCTCTCTTTGAAGGTCTTCTTCTCTCTCTTTGGGTAACTTCTCTCTCTCTTTGAACTTCTTCTCTCTCTCATCTCTCTCTCTCTCTCTCTCTCCTGTTTATTCTTTCTCTCTGTCCATTTTCTCTCTCTCTCTCTGTCCAAAAATTCTCTCTCTCTTCTCTACTTCTCTCTTCTCTCTCTTCTCTTGAATTCTCTGTCTTTTCTTTCTCTCTCTCTCTCTCTCTTTGTCCACTTCTTTCTCTCTCTCTCTTAAAACTTCTCTCTCTCTATCTAAATAACCAATCTCCACTTCTCTTTTCTCTATCCTTCTTTGTCATTTTCTTTTTTATTTTTTTTCTCTTTCTTTCTTGTCCATTTTCTCTTTTTTCTCTCAGTACCAGTTGTGTCTTTTGTGTCTCTAAACATATGTCAGTAAACTTCTCTCTCGCATTATATTCTTTTAAATATCTTTATTTCGAATATTGACTGGGTGCTTCTGCAATCTCTCTCTCACCCTCACCTTCTCTCTCTTTCACCCCCTCTCTCTCACTCAATGGTTGCTTCTTGGTGATATCGTAAATTATTGTTGCTGTATCCTCGATTAATGCTGCCAATTGTCTTTCAGCGCCAAACCTCTTCTTGGTCCCATGCTCACCTTCTGATGAAGGGTTTCTCGACAACACCTCTGTTGCTTTGCACCAAAACTGATGTTATGAACTTGATGCCTGCTCAATCATGCAAAAATCAGTAATTACAAACATTAAAGTTCAGTGTTGATAGATTTCATACAAGCAGAGCCGGCGCCAGGGTATGCAATCTCCCCGTCTCCATTCCACATATTTTGCTAAGATAATTAAATAAGATTACACTAGACTATTCAGATGGATGCAAAATATCATTTGGCACAAACTAAGCAGCCCTTTCTAAATTAATTTTTGCGCCTCAGGCGATTACTGAAATGCTCTCATGCGTAACTCGGGTTCTGTTTTTAAAGTAGAGATTTGAAAAGCCCAGTGCCACTAAATTTTAAATAGACTTCTCATTCGTAGTGCAAATTCGTTTGGTTTATTTCAAACTAACTTAAAAGTCCACCTATCGGGCTGCAATTAAGCTACGTCCTGTGAAGGGTTCTTGATTGAGGCTTCGGCTTATTCAAGAGTTTGAGGATCCCTAAGTCTTTGCATATTCTCAACATTAGAAGCCCTCCTGGCCGCCGTTTGATCTGGGTTTTCATTTGCAGGGGAATTTCTTTTCCCCGCTGCAGCCTTGGCTCTTTTGATTGCAATCTGTTCCTCTGTTAGCAGAGATTTCTTTTTGTAAGGTATACTGCTCCGATTGCGACAAGTAATAATAAACTACAGAACAGAAAAATTGATCGCTGCATTTAATATTAATATTTAAGCTTACCCTTTAATAGTTCAACGATAATGCTTTTGTCGCCACTTAATTTAAAGAAAGTTTGATGTACGTAGGTACTTACTTTCGTAAAAACAATTATTTTTATTTCTGGGAGATTTTAGCTGGATTTAGCAATTGATATTCATTGTTTCCAAATTTATTTATAAGTTAAAAAAAATGTTATCGTATCAAAAATCTGTCGCAAAAAATCACGTAAAATCTCGCTGTAATGAAAACTTGGGAATCCAAAATTTCAGGATTGCGGGTCTGGATCCATCACGGAATATTTTTAATTTGTTGAAGGAGTTGGCCTGATTGCAAAATGGTATGTGTTGGGTTACGGCTTCTAGGAGTAAAGTTGACAACACAGACAATTTTATTTTGAAACATTGTAATTTGAGAACAGTAATATTTTCATTTGAACATTTAAGCTATTGAAAGTAAAAAAGTCGTGTCACTTTAATTGTTTTTATCAATAGAAGCCAAGATGGCGGAATCCGAAAGCAATCGCAGTAAGGAAAACTTGGAAATTCAAAATTTCAGGATTGTGGTCCGGATCCAGCCCGGAATGTTTTTAATTTACTCACGGAGCCGGCCTGATTGCAAAATGGTATATGTTGGGCTACGGTTTCTGGGGGGAAAAGTTGAAAAAGTGTGACACACTGACATTTATTATATAGAAGTAATGCCAAAGTTAAAAAATCAGTAGCGCTGAATTGTCCGACGATTGTGCACGTGACACTTCGGAGGGAAAATTTTTTTACTATTTTATTTCAGCTTTCTCAAGCTATATTATCAGAATAAAAACAATTCTTTCGAAGTTTGGTGAGGGGTTGTTGATCACAGTATAAATACAGGGTTAAATCAATCCCCGTTTCCTTGTATAGTTTTTTATGCTTATGTCATTGATAAATAATGCAGGCATTTTGTGCCTCTGTCTTTTCCCCCAAATATTTTCATGACAACCACTCTGACGAATTTTCTCTACCTGGTGCCTCGACTGCATCAATTTAAGCGTGCTACTAGATTGGCAACTAGGTCTCACCATTCTACTGTTGAAGTAGCTAGATGCAACCGCTACTTCTACTCTACAGTTTCTTTTCTCACACCTCCAACCTGTGGAACTCCTTTCGATTTCTTGCTTCCCTGCCATCTACAATCTTCGAAAATTTAAATACAACGAAAATCGCTATCTATGTCTTCCTGAATCCTGTTCTTTTATTGTCCTTTCTCCTCGCTAAAGCCTTCTCATTCTCTCTCACTTCCAGTCACCCTTTACATCTTAGTGGGATTATCGCCTTGCTTCACTGACACCTAGAATCTTCAAAAGTCTAATTGCAACGCCAATCGTCATCTTCAGTCTTCCCGGATCCTGTTCTTTCATTACCTGTAACCCTCTACGTCTTAGTGGATATATTACCTTACTTGAGGTGAAAGGATTAAAAAAAAAAACTCATTAAGAACAAAGGGATCGATTTGATATTTTATTTATGTCATGAACACGACCCCACTTGGAAAATGATAAAAAAATCTTTTTTGATTCTGACGAATGTCGTCGTATGAAGAGGGCCTTCTTTATTTTATCTGCCATGTCCTTTCAGGACGTAGGCGATCATGGCTCTCCACCTCCCTCTATCCCTTGCAGCTCTCAAGAAATTCCCTCCCTCTGTCTCCTCTCCCAGACAACGTTTTGTCATCCCCTTGCTTAAACCCGCCAAGTATGTCACGCGTTGTTTTCTCTTGTCCCACTTTCTCTCTATGTGACACGTGAGTATCAGATTCTCCAAGCTCTCCTTCCTCATTAATGAATGCTAATCGACAAAAATGGCTAAATTTATTTATTTTAGGAGCGGGCTAGTCAATTTAAGTTATTCTCATTACGGTTATCAGGGCCTATTGTGTTCACTTTGCACTAATACCCTCGGGAATGAAAAGAGTCCATCACTTCTTCCCACTCTTACAATTAGTTTATTAGTAAAATAGCGGAAGGTATTGAAGAGCGTGCAACTACCACTTAATTGCTGTTGTTACCAGGTCCACCATGACCCGGGGTGGTAGCACCTGTTAGGGTCCCAGTTATGGGCAATTAACTCCCAAACTGGGGTCAAAACACTTTCTTTCTTTCTATCTGCCGTGTCGTTTCAGGGCGTAGGCGAACATGGCTCCCCACCACTCCCTATTCCTTGTAGCTCTCAATATTTCGTCCCTCTGCCACCTCCCACGTTCTGTCATCCACTTGCTTAAACCCGCTAGGTATGTCACACGTTGCTTTCCATTTTCTCTCTTTCCCTCTATTCGACCTGTGAGTATCAGATTCTCCAGGCCCTATTTTCTCATTAGGTGTCCCGGAAACTTCAGCTACCTCGTACTGATGTTAAGACCTCATCGTTGCTCTCACGCTTGGCACATGATATCCTCAGCATCCTACTGTAGAACTACATCTCCGTCGCTTCGAGTCGCTTCTTCATCTATCAGGTGATCGTCCAATATTCGCTGCCGTAAAGGAGGGCAGATGTTATGTAACAGCTCAGCATTCTTTTCTTTGTCACCAAAGAAATCCTCCTGTGCTTCAATACTCTGTCCAGCTTTTGGAATGCGTCCTTGGCCATCCCAATACGTCTACGGATCTGTGTCGCACTTACCGTCCTCTCTCAAAACAATTTACAGATATTTACATTTTCGCACCTGCTTGATTCTAGTGTCCCCGACCTGCAAATCGCATTTTGTGCTCATCCTCTTACTGATGACCATGCATTCTGTCTTGTAGTTTATGCTTAGTCCCTTCTTCTCGCTCTCCTTCGCTACCTTCTGTAGGAGGTTTTGTAATTTCTTTTCCGTGTCTGCTATCAGTATTGTGCCATCTGCGTATCTTAAGATTGTGGCCACTAAAGCTGAATCACAGTAGGATTTCCAATTCTCTCAAAATTGCCTTACTGTATAGGTTGAATAGGTCCGGTGAGAAGACACATCCTTGCCTTACGCCCCTTTCTATGTTTGTATATGCGCTGATCTCGTTCTCTCTGTGCATGCATATAGTAAAAATACCAGAAATACATTTTAATAGTATAAAATATTAGCAACAATATATTTTTGGAAAAAAAAAAAAGAAAGAAAAATACCAGGAATACATTTGCCAAAGAAATTGCTAATACTCTCAAGAACATTATATTTCGGCATTAAATAACCATAAGGAGTTGATATGCTGCTAAACAAACACCAGCCAAGAAGAGATGAGGGGATAGGAAACGTACACGTTACACACACAGGTCTATTGCTGGATACTCATACCCGTCTTGTCTTCAAAATTTCCACATTTACGACGAGAGAATAACAAAATAAAGGTTACATACAAAACATATTATATATACACACACATATATACATATATATATACACATATATATATATATAAACACAAACATATATATATATATATATATTATATACTTTACACAAATATATATATATATATATATATATATATTATATATAACATATACACACACACATTTATTATATATATATATATATATATATATTTATACACACATATATATATATATATATATATATATATATATATATATACAAACATATTCACACACATATATATATATATATACACAATATATATATATATATATATATATATATATATATATATACACACACATACGGGTCTATTGTTGGATACTCACACTATATTCTCGTCTTCAAAACTCTTCATTGACCTTAACACTGGGCAAGTGAGACGAGAGAATAGGAGATGTACATATTACACAATTATATGTATCAACAAACTCAAAGGCAAATTACACTTGACCATTCGTAATGGCGAACTTCAAAAGACAAATACACATTACAACTAATATAACTGCTGCGTCTTATTGCCATTGGGTGTTCCTTGTACTTGAACATCATTGTTAATGTCTGACTAACCATTGTACAGTAATTCCTGTTGCTTCTGGGGTTGAGTGAAACTAACTTCCTTTTTCATTTTCTCTCGTCGACAGCAGTTTTATAATTTCAGTCTACATAAAAAATAACTTTCTTGAACGAGATTTAACTAATCTCATTACGACTTCGATCTATTGGAATATTAATTTCCTTTCCTTGATCCAGATTTGATTGGTTCTGTTATTCTCCGCCATTTCTATGGTGAGTAAGCATGTTTGTTTTTGTTTGTTAATGGTCTCTCTCTCTCTCTCTCATTCCATAATTGCCACGGTTTTATTTATTGAGACTTATATTTCATTATTTGAGTTTGATTGTGAAGTTATCTTTTGTGTCCCTAAATGTTTATTCTCTACCTTCGCTCTTTGTCCTCCTCCTGTCACTGCTTCTCTTCCTCTCCTCCTTCTCGCTGCACTACCCCTCCTCTTCTACTTCATTTCGCTTCAATCTCGATCCTCTTATTCTTCTCTTTTATCCTATGTCTTCCATATTGCCTCTTCTCGTTCTTTCTTATTGCTGTCGGGTCTCCTCCTCCTCCTCTTCTTCTCGTTGCTCTCTACCTCCTCCTCCTCTTCTTCTCGTTGCTCTCTACCTTTTCCTCCTGGCTTCTTTATATTTAAACCTCCTCCTTCTTCTTTTTGTTTCTCTCTACCTCCTCAGGGTCTCTTCTTCTCGTTGCTCTCTTCCTCCTCCTCCTCTTCTTCTATTTTGCTTCTTTCTTCTCTCCTCTTTTTCTTCTTCTCGTTCCTCCTCCTCCTCCTTCTTCTTCTTCTCTCTACCTCCTCCTCCTCTTCTTCTTCGAAACAACCTCCTCCTCCTCTTCTTCTTCTTCCTCCTCCCTCCTCTTCTTCTAAAAAATTTTCTTTCCTCCTCTTCTCAAACTCCTCCTCCTCCTCTTCTTCTCTTTGCTCTACCTCCTCCTCCTCCCTCTTCTTCTCTCTCTACCTCCTCCTCCTCTTCTCGGCATTAAATGACCTCCTCCTCCTCTTCTTCAAATTCTCTCCCTCCTCCTCCTCTTCTTCTCGTTGCTCTCTACCTCCTCCTCCTCTTCTTCTTCTTCTACATTTAACAGCGTTTTCTCGTAAACTCTACCTCTTCCTCTTCTTCTCGTTGCTCTCTCCTCCTTTGTATATTTGGACTTTTCCTCTCTTGTTTTTCTTTTTCGTTTCTCTCCTTCTCGCTTTTTTTTTCCTTTATAAGTATCTTAATAAACTATACAACCTCTTCTTTATCGTTTGTCTCCCTTCGATCCCAAATAATGCTAAGCTTGAGGTTCATGTGCAACATTCCTTACCATAGGATAATAATCTATACACAGCAAATTTACTGATGACGCTCTCGTTGCGTGTAATCTAAGACGGTGTTGCTGAACATTTTCTATCTCTTCATGGAGAAGGCCAATAGTAAATTTAAAACCCTGCCAAATTGAAACCTCGTGTTCATCGGTCAATAGTGAAAATTTAACCTAAATAAAAAAAACACACGCAAAAACGCTGTATCAATAAAAACAATGAGTACATCAAACGATAACAAAGTTTGGTGGAGCTGGTTGAATATTTGTTTCTTTTCTCTCCTCATCGTGTTTTTGTCAACTCTCTGCAGGAATATTTATTATTTCTAAGTTAATTAATATTTATTATTAGATATTATTTAATTAAGTATTTATCTGAATTGCTGTTGGACTTATTTTTCTTGTTAATTCTATCTCCGTTTGTCTTGGATGTGGTGGTAAAGATCATAGTATTAAGGATAACTAATTTATTTACAAGTTTAGAAGAAAGTTTCAGAGGGTAGGATTATGTATTTTGTGCTGTTCTTAAAAGTACTATCTGTGGGGTGTGGTTTTTTGGATTTGTGGAATTTGTAAACTTGTTTTCTAGCATTGATAATGAAATAATGTGGCTAGTGAGGAAGACTAAATGTTTTCTCAATATATTTCTCTCAAACTTATGTATTTTGGGTTAAATATCCTAAGGGCTTTTGAGGTAGAACCCTATGAATGATCCTGATTTTATATTTTTTTGTGTCTTTGTAGATTTTTCATATGTTGATTTGGGAACATTTTAATTGTTTTAGATCAATATACAATAAATACTTAAAAGAATGGTCTTCAATAAAGGTTGGTGATCTATTATAATGTTTTTTTGATGTGTGTTGATGAGTAATACTGTTATTATTAGGCTCTCAAAGTACTTTCTATGTGAAGTATTATGTTCTTTCTTTTTAATTAAGATGGCATTTGTAAAATCAAAGTTATGGCCAGTTTTCTTTCTGTGTATTACGAGAGTTTGAATTGTCTAAACAAGTCTTTTATATTCGTAGATACAGGCTATTAGATCTCACGATGTCTCTCTGATATAAATTCTTTTACATTGTAAACAATTTATTTGATAAGTACCACCATCTGAATTGGTGCTAGACTTATTTTTCTTCTTAATTCAATAACCGATTGTCTTGGACATGGCAGTAAAGATCCCAGTATTAAGCATAACTAATTCATTTACAAGTTTAATAGAAAAACACATTTATAGGGTAGGATTATGTATTTTGTGTTGTTGCTAAAAAAAGTGGTAGTGTTGGTGTTGTGGTTTTTTGCACTTTGTATCTACGAACATAATAGATTTACGTTTAGAGAACCATACTGAATTAATATATAATACACCGAAACAAAATTGTGTATCAATAATTGATTTTATATAAATACTACTCTAATTAAAAAAGAACATTATTCTTTACGAAGACAGTGCTTCGAGATCCTAACAATAACAATTTTACCGGCTGTTAACAAGTGTCAAAAACTCATTACATCATCAAACCTTTCTTAAAGAACCTAACGTATGTTATCAGAAACAAACGTCATGCTCGTAAAAACGTTCCTAAATCAACATGCGAAAAACTAAGAGATACAATGTCTACTACTGTGTGCGCGCGCACACACACACACACTGTTATCATCTAAAACCCACAAGACAAATTATTATAAGTTTACATAACTGAAGCAATATTTACTCTCTCCCTACACTATAAATACTGGGCAACTTCTTGCTTGTTCTCTTTTTCATTTCTTCATTTCAGCGAACACCTCTACAATGTAAGCTCTCGCAAAAAAAACACGTTTTCCCATATGTGGGAGACGCACTGGAACATTATACACACACACGTTGGAACATTCACCAAAAGAACAAACACAAATGTCTCACAAATGTCATGTCTATGTCCATAGTAAAATTGTATTGTTTAATACATATATTTGTTTATATATATATATATATATAATATTGTTTGTCTTCTTTTCATCTTCGGTTGGACACAACTCCAGTACGCCATTTTCTTGTAGTTGAACCTTCTAGCAGGAAATAAACAGCATGTGTCCCTAATTCAACAACACTCAAACCCACACTGTCCTCTACAAATTTCTTGAAACTTTGGATCACCTTGAACGGAACAAATTATACGAACGTCTATTTAAAAAGTCGAATGCACGTAAAACATGATTAACTAATCAAAATCAAACACAAAAGTCAAAATACCAGAATTTCTTTCTTTCTATCGCATTCTCTGATAAAGCTTTAATAAAAGCGAAACATGTTAGATTAATAAACGTTTCTTATTTGTTCTTTATCTTAAATTCTTTTATTAGGGGGCAAGTTATAGTGGGCGACTTTTAGAATAAGGAGCAGCCAAAATTTTTCGGCAGTAGTGGCCTCCGGCCTTCCTCAAGTGTATATTGATCTGGGTAACCTACTGGGAATTCAGAATGAACCCATTAATTAATCTACTTTTGTTGTTTCACAGCTCCTATCTAAGGATACCGCCTAGATTTTATTTCATCTAGTACATTGTTTGCTCTTTTCCACAGAGTGTAAGTACACACTGCCCGACCTAGAGATCGAACTCACAATCACGATATTATCCACTAGGCCAATTTGCAGTAGTAAATCTTAAACTCTTAAACTTAGCTGCTGATTAGGTTGCATACACCTGAGGAAGGCCATAGGACCCAATGGCCGAAACGTTGTGATAACAGCAACAAAGATGAGGACAATAGTCCGAATATTTTTTTTAAAAAAAAGTGTTAGTTACTGTTCAGGGATTTTTTTTCATAATGCCTATATTTTTAATGTATTAAAATTGTATCCTAAAACTATGATTTACTAAGACAGCTTTTTTTCTAATTATTTTAAAATGTTTTTCCAGTTATTTTGTTTAGTTTGTTGCTGTTATTTTTTTTTTGCCCGCAATGAAAACAAAAATAGTTACGTGTCATGCGTGAGACACGCGTAGGCGATCATGTATCTTTCGATACATGACTGACTTTCCCGCAGTATGTTGCCATCTCTTTCTGCGGCTGTCCTGCTGTCTACCCACTGCTGGGGTGGCGGAAGAAGAGGATTTATACCTTTCCCAAGGTTATTAGTAAGTGAATGTAATGGTTTCGACTAGAATTCAAACTCGGCTCTCCGATTCCTCAATCCGAGCCGCTATACATTACTCCAACGTCGTAATTATAATCTTTCGTAAATGTTGGCCAGTTTTGGAATGTTGTTTAGAGGGGGCGGCAAATTCTACGATCACTGCAGGCGGCTCAAACTCTACATCGCCGTTGTTAGCCGCCCCACTGATTTAACTTTCCCAAAATATCACAAAATTCCAGATTTAGAGTTTTGCATTATATAACACCGATTTTCCAGGAATTGATGCCCTCTACACCTCTTTTGATCCGCACAAAATGACGATTAGACACTCTCACTGCTGTTACATCCACCGACCGCCAATGGTTGAGTTTCATTCCTGGAACTCGTCGGTGTACACCAATTGATTCCCAACCTGGGTCTTATGACCCACCGGTTTATTATACCAACATGAGATCAAATTTTATTTTTTATTTTATGCATATATATATATATATTTATATATATATAATATATATATATATATATATATATATATATTACAGAATAAACTTCCATTTAAATATTTTATATTTCTGCCTTTCAGTTCACTATTATGCTTTGAAACTATATATTTAACTGCCTTTTTGTTTGTTTCTCTCTCATGGACGCCATGGTCTTTGGAGACTTGTTTAGAGACCAAGTTAACGGCCTTTTAAGCTTCCTTCACGTGAATTGCAGTAGCATTTTGAATATGTAAGAATTAAATATTACAGTAGAGAAGACGCAAGAATTTTAGAAATACCAAAGTGGGACATGGCCCCAAATCGGTTGGGAAACACTAGTGTACACTGAAAGCTGGGGAAGGGTGTATATTCACATTTTAACACGATGAAAGACAAACGCTACATCGAAAAATAAGAACGCAAACTCTGTTTCCCATATTATATGAAGATATTTTATTCAGCGCTTCGCCTGCTCGTCTAGGTGTAGGTAGTTGATGTTTGGGACAACTTCTTCCATGTCAGCTCCCCCCACCACTACTCCAACCATCTCCTCACCCAACTACTCCCAACGTGATAACTGGTAATATGGATGGAGGCTTTGGAACCGCGCGATCCAGAACACTATCCGATGGCTGTTACTATAGACCAGCATTCGGATATACTCTATTTCCGGTTTTGCTGCCACTTGATCTCCAAAAACTCTTATTGACTCCCTTCTCATTCCCCTTCAGTCAAAGTGGATGCCGCTTAGAAGACCGAACTTCAAAAGGAACCATCTGCTCTGCCCATCAAACTGAAACACTTGAGATGTTGATAAAACCACATATTCCCTTTCTACATGGGTGTCCAGAGTATCACATTCAATCAAAATTTAATGAAGTTTCTACTTTAATGAAATACATAATTGTTCAGTGATATTAAATCAATATGGCCTCTACTAGTTCGGCAAGAGAGCTGGAAAATCGGTGTTACTTCATATGTGTACAACATGACTTTTGGCTGTTTTATATATCAGGTTACTCAAATGTGGCTGTTGATTTTACTTACAATAGAAAAAAAACAATAAATTTAATAGACACAAAATGTTTACTCAGGAATTCTCTTCTCAATCAAGAGTTATATTTAACAATTTATGGGAGGAGAAGGAAAATGGGAATTAACATTTTTTTCTTTTTACTTTAGTTTACTTAATACAAGGCCCAAGGGCCACTCAAAGTAAAAGGTTGCTGAGTGAGATTGCTGTAAGGGAGGGAGGATACCCAATCTCTATTCTAGACGCTTGCTCAGGCACATTTGTGTTTGTTCAACACCCGCAAAGCCCATCCGTGATTTAAACTGCAACTATGATGAGCAGACCTTACTTACAGTTTCTGGTATAGAGCGTGTTATCTAACGTGATCAACAATCTGAACAAGACCAGCACACTCAAACCCTCGGTCATGATGACTTGTGATTTCGTGCTAGCACAGCTATCGACGGCCCCAAGAATTCCGACTACTCAAATTCACTCACAAGGCTTGGGTCAACCCGTGGTATGGTTTTCAGGCAATTTCCAAAGGTGCCGCCCGCTGGGAATGCCCCCCTCCAGACCGATAACATCAGGAAACACAATTATATACACACACATGTATATACACGTAAAATTCGTCTGATCTGAAAATGTCCTTTGTTTGGAGAAAAAATTCCTGAAATAAGAGTGATCAGGAACCATGGAGAATCTCAATTAGATTGATTGATTTTTTACGGTTTATCAACCTTTTCGCAGGTTATTTAAAGCCAGACAATATTTTTTTTAGAATGTAGGAATTATTTGAGAGATAATAATGATTTACTGATACGTTCTCCTAATTAACCTATAGATGGGGGGGGGAGGTCGATTCACACCTATCCTAAGGGTATTTGCGCATAAGTAACGAACCCGACTGGAATTGGAACGGCTCTGCGATTTCTAATTCCGAGCCGTTATCCATTACACCGCCCGTATATCCAACCTTACAGCATCTTGTATTCCGAAGCGGTCACCCATTTAGGTACTGACCAGGCTTGACGTTGCTTAACTTCGGTGATCGTACGAAAACCAGTGTTTCAACGTGATATCGCCATAAAAAAATTAAACTTTAATTAGAGGCTGTCATCTAAACCAATGAACTTTAGAACCAAACCAGCATTTTCCTTTTAAAATAGCGTCATATTCTATAATTCCTTAATTTTTCATATTCTATAATTCCTTAATTTTTCATATTCTATAATTCCTTAATTTTTCATATTCTATAATCCCTTAATTTTTCATATTCTAGAATTTTGTTCCGAATGACGATAAAAGCAATTGAATTTTTTTTTGGTATGTCCGACGTCCCCACCTTGCATCAAGAAAAAAAAAAGTGTCTGCAGGGGTCACTGATAATCTCTGATCTGTTTCAAGCACTTCTTGCAGATTTAGACTGCAAAGCATTTGGTTCCCCACCCAAAGCTGCTCTATTTTATAAGCAGAACATAGAAAAGTTCATTTAGTTTCACCTCCTTAGCTGATATTTCTCAATACTTTCATTGAATAGAATCCTCCCCCCACCAATCACCCGCTCACTTCCCTGTAGATAGTCGAGATGCAAGAGATTCTTTTCCTGTAATAAAGAATTTCATTTTGCCTAATTCGATGTCATTTTCGTCTGAGAGGGAAAAAAAAGAAATGTTTGTCATAAATTCAGATTTGTTTTTGTTTTTTTTCCATTTTCTTTCAATTTTTCATTTTTTTTTCACCTTTTTTAATCTTCCTCTTTTCTTACATTTTCTATTTTTTTCTTGCTTTTTCTTTCATTTTTTCGTTCTTTTGTCTTTTTCTTTCCTTCCTCTTTGCTTTCGGTCTATTTTTTCCTTCTCTTTGCTTTCTTTCTAGTTTTCTTTCTCTTTGCTTTCTTTCTTCATATTTCATTTCATTTTTTTTTCTTTCGTTATTTATAGCTTGAAGTTTATCTTTTGGTTTCTTTTCTCTTGTAACTCGCGTTTATCTATCCCATTAAAAAATGGGTTCTATTTTAAACCTGTTTATAAATTCCTAAACTTACATCAGATCACTCAACAAGTGCTACTGATACCATGTAACCCAATACTACCTGTCACATGATCGGAGGGGGTCATTGGTGCCTAAACTGTTTTTCCCACCAGACATTTCTGGTAAGGAGGATGACTAGACACCTAGCAGCATTAAAAACAAGACCTTTCAAAAGGCGGCTGATCCAGTCTTGTAGACTCAACGGCCATCACGCACAATGGGGATAGGCTAGGCTCTATAGCTATGTATGCAGCCAGTAATGGCACGGCATCGCTAGGCGAAGGGCTTCCTCGACTGGAATCGGCGGCCAAAGCGGCGTGTCCTCCCTAGTGGAATCAACGACCACGTATCTATGACCAAAGTTGGAGGTTTACTTGTCCAAATCAAGCTATGCATGGATGAATCTCTCTCTATCTATCTCTCTCTATGTATGTATATATATATATATATATATATATATATATATATATATATATATGAGAGAGAGAGAGAGGAGACTGGTCAGGTGCTCTGTTGTATAGTGACCCCTACAACCACACCCGGTCATGGGACTGAAGAATAATTTTCGTTTTTGCTTTCCTTCTGACCCTCATTTCCCTTTAGTCTTTTATCAAGTCCATCGCTTTTCTGTACGTTTCTCGGTCCGAACGTACAACCATGCGTCGTGGATTTGACAAACATTACAGCAACCCGAGGTGAGAAAGGGTAACTGTTATTACCCCAGCTTTCTATTGGGATATTCTTTACCTTTTTAATGAGTTTATTATGGCAATAAAGATTGGCCTAATTAAAGTCAAATACAGAAAAGTTACAATTACCTTAGCTGGCACGAAAAATAGAAGCAACGGTTAGAGAAAAAATGAAGTGAGCTAATGATTTAAAAAGCAGGTTTCTTTATTGTTTCCGCGTCTCTCTTGACTACAGTGTTGAATTGTTTGGCAATTAAATGAAAGCTAAGATTGCTAATAAAAAATGCGTCAACAGAAATGAAACCTTTCCGATTTCTAGGGGCCTTAATATTAATAAAAATGTAAATGTTTTGTTAAGGTTCTTTTTTTTTTATCGCCGCTTTAAAATTGACGCCGATAGAAAGCTATTCGTCTTTGTAAGCCTCAGAGGTTCAATGGCCGCTCAGAGGTGCATAGAAGAATAGAGTCGGAGAAACAAAAGATTGTTTCGACAAAAAAACACGTTTTTGAAAAAAAAAATAAAATAACAATATAAGGATTGTTTATTTCAGGTCGGTAAATTCTTGAAGTATGCATTGATTCCATTCGGATATCTTTCTTTCTTCTCTCTTCCTCTCTCTCTCTCTCTCTCTCTCTGTCCCTTCCTCTTTCTTCTCTCTCTCTCTCCCTTCTCTCCATTCTCTTTTTCTCTCTCTCTCTCTGTCCAATTCTCTCTCTCTCCCCTTCTCCTCCCTCTTTCTTCTCTCTCTCTCTCTCTCCTCCTCCGTTTTCTCTCTCTCTGTTATCTTTCTCTTTCTTCTCTTCCTCTCTCTTCTCTCTTCTCTTCCTCTTTCTCTCTCTTCTCTTCTGTCTCTTCCTTTTCCTCTCTCTTCTCTCTTTTCTTCTCTTCTTCTCTTTCTTTCTCTCTCTCTTCCTCTTCCTCTTTCTTCTCTCTTCTCTTCCTCTTTCTTCTCTCTTCTCTTCCTCTTTCTTCTCTCTTCTCTTCCTCTTTCTTCTCTCTTCTCTTCCTCTTTCTTCTCTCTTCTCTTCCTCTTTCTTCTCTCTTCTCTTCCTCTTTTTCTTCTCTCTTCTCTTCCTCTTTCATTTCTCTCTTCTCTTCTCTTTCTTTCTTCTCTCTCTCTTTCTTCTTCCCTTTTTCTCTCTCTCTTCTCTTCCTCTTTCTTCTCTCTTCTCCTCTCTCTCTTCTTCTCTCTCTCTCTTCTCTCTGTCTGTCCTCTCTCTCTCTCTCTCTCTCTCTCTGTCCACTTCCTCTTTCTTCTCTCTCTCTCTCTGTCCACTTCCTCTTTCTTCTCTCTCTCTCTCTCTCTGTCCACTTCCTCTTTCTTCTCTCTCTCTCTCTCTCTGTCCACTTCCTCTTTCTTCTCTCTCTCTCTCTCTGTCCACTTCCTCTTTCTCTCTCTCTCTGTCCACTTCCTCTTTCTCTCTCTCTCTGTCCACTTCCTCTTTCTCCAGCTATGTTGTCCATTACAGAAATCATTCCTCATTTGTGGATTTGGGCCAAAGTAATGTAAACTTCGGAAATTTTTCTTTCTGCTTCTCGAACTTTTTGAGATTTGAGGTGGGAATTAACGTGAACAACATCTACTTCCAGGAAGTCTCTCTCTCTCTCTCTCTCTCTCTCTCCACCCCTAACGTTGCACTTTGACTACTGCGCATGAAGGTGCCAAAGCAACTGCACACTTTCTCATACCACACGCATGTGGGGCTCTAAGTTGTACCCTTGAGCCAAACTTGGCTTCGTAGTAGGCAAACAGCTTCTTTTGATGGATGTCTTCCCACCCTCTAAATTTCTCTCTCTCATGTCATACTTCCATATTTGTTTACTCACTCAATCGCCGACGTTGTAAGCAGAGCGAATCGGTCGGGTTCGTAATATTTCGGTCAATAATGGATGCCTTATGTTGGGTGGTACCGTTCATTTTAAATATTACTAATCAACAACAGGTGAGTCAGATTAATGAGAACACCAAACCTATTCTTCTGCTGACCTCTGCAGCGAATTACAATGACGACCCACTAAGATTGCATTTAAGAGGTGACGGAGATAGGGGAAACTGATATATTAGCCAATTGATATTGGAAGATCAAACAAGTCTTCTTCAGTGTGATCTGTCCCTTCGGAACGTGGGTGATCATGGCTCTTCACAATTTCCAATTTGTTCCTTGTAGCTCTTTGCAAATTTTATCCTTTTGGTATCTCTCCTAATCCCTGTTCTGTCAACCTCCTCTTTCTCTCTCGCTCCATTCTTCACCTCCTCCTCCTCTAGTTAAGTTATTCGCTGCTCTCCTCTGTCCCTCCTGCCTCCAATATGTCTTGTGAGTGTGTTGTAGGGAAAGAACTGATAACCTTCAGTATACAAAGATCTGATACACATCTAAATGGACTGTTCCAGTAGAAATATAAGCATCTATCCCATCTTGTTTTCCGGGGGTGGGGGTGCTTTTCAGCTTAGGCTTGATCAGACGTCGAACTCTCAGCTTTCGGACGAGGCTATGCCGAAGGGCAATGTCTCGTCTGGGAGATAGATAAACCCGACCCCGTGTATGATGGGTCTACAGGGTTTTTTTCCGAGTCTATGGGTTTCCTTTCGCCCTCATAAAAATCGGCCTTGTGCCACATCGTTGCAGACGAACTTGTAATATATACTTGTATTGTTTTTGTTCCAAGTAAACCCTTATAATTTGTACGTTGCTGTTCTAGTTATTTCAAAAACCACCATGGACAACTTTACAAAAGAGTGTCAAATTTTCCAAGCCGTCTTTCCTCATTATGTTCCCTAAAAATTTCAACTGTCTCTTTATAAGTGTCCATTTTGTTTCCATTTTCTCTAAAACATTGTCATTGCTCCCATTGCAATTAAGTTCGTAAAGTCAGGGTGCAAAATAGAAAAATAATATTTATTTTGAAAAATACAGAAATGTGGCACAAGGCTAAAAGGAGGGATAGTGAAAAAGCTGGTCTCTAATTTCTTTTATCTTAAACTGGGATGCAGGATTAATTTCAACTTCACCCACCGCGATGCGAATGAGTCCGAACTTTTATTGCCGATAACTTCAAAAGGGTAGATTTTATTAATTTTTTTTTTGTTATTTTCGAATTAAGCATATAGATTTACACCTAAATGGAACTCTTCCGGAAATTTTTATTAGAAACTGAGCGTGGGGCTTGAACTGCAAATCACCCTTTTGAGGTTCCGAGTTGAAATTAGTTCTGTCATTCCTTAAACTTAGCTAGACATGATTACTGACTCAAATATAGTGATTTTCCAAGCGTAGCTCAGATGTGGCACAAAGCCGAAAGTATGGGGTACCCAGTGAGGATCGAACTCACTACTCAGTCGTAATTGTTCTAGCGAGGCAAGCTTGCTAACCATTACACCACCTCGAGGTGCCCTTACTGACTCAAATATACCATAGTATTCTCTACGCCAAAACAACACATTCTTACTTACCATTCTTACTACAGTCACGATAATACCTCACAGTCTCTATGTAGTCCTAACTAGTTCCCATATGTACAATATTTAATGTAAAATAAAAATAAGAGCATTAAAAATGAAATCACAAACATTTACAATGAAATTCAAAGGGGAAAGCTCATCAGAAGGATTACAATGAAAATATTTATAGAAAAGGCATGGGGGAGTTACGTTGCGGAGAAATGACTAAAGTCGAGATACCATGTCAGGACCGACAAAATTGCAAATTCTTCTTTGGATTTTGTCAAGAATCTCTAGATATAAAACTAAAGCACCAAACCAAATGTGACAGCAATATTTGATTCACGGGCAAATGCTAGACTTATAAATGTGCTAGAGAGATTCTCGCGAGAAATGTGCTAGAGAGATTCTGGTGAGAAAAATAATTTGGCGCGACACCGTGAACTAACATTTTTCACTGATTTTTAAAGAACTAATAAACGGTTTCACGAAAAATATTTGTACTTCATATTACTCCTCTGACTTTAACTGAACTTTTGAAGTTTCACATTATGAACCAGGTTACTAAAGCCCTGGGAACTTTATAGCAAATTGATGCTGTATGCTTAAATATGCGCAAACCGGCCTAATTTTAATCAAAACTGCGCACATTAATGTTTTCATCATTCGGAAAATAAAACATTAGATTCCACCTACTTATTTTGACTTGCGCAAAACGTTCCCATCACCATATGTTGTAATTTCTGATGATTCAGACACTTCATCTTTTATTTTTTGTGCATGTGTATGTGGAGGGGACGCTGCTGTTGTTGGTATTGTTTCTGACGATAGCCTTAGTCATCATCTCATCCTCTGTAAGTTTTCAGATCAGTAGGAACTGGTGACTTTAAATAGACCAAGTGACTGCAAGTTTCATCACCACCCTTCTCACTATTATTATTATTTGTCTGCTCCTGCATGCAGCTTAGTGAAAAAATCCCTTAGTGCATAAGCGGTTCTAACCAGCGTTTCTACCTGCGTATTCTCAGTGTCAGGCATAAACAAGGCGTCTTGCGAGTCGCAGAGAATTATGGATGTAGTCCGAAGTGCGCCAGTCCCAACAGCGACAACTTGAACTGACTCTTGGTACATTTCTTCGTCTTTCCCGGTTTTGATACCTCTTTATTTTCGACTGCTCCGGCTCCACGATGTCCTTATCCCAACGACTATCAGAATCCATTCATAGCTGCACTTGTGGGATATCAGGGTGATTTCTCTCCAAGCGCTTGTCAATCAAGATGGTCGTATGTCATATGAGCTTCAGTTATTCAGGCTCGGCTAATGACGGTGGTAAAAGCTCGTACGCCTCCTCGCGCGTTCGAGGCAATCGTCATCATCACTGTCATAATAATAATATTTTTACAATGATGTACAAAGCTCAAGAGTCACTTGAGGTAGAGGGTGAGAGAGAAAAAGGCAGAGTTTATGCGGATATTTAGGGAAGGTAACGGTTAAACTTGATCAGGGAAGCATCCACTTGGGAGTCTGTTCCACAGAACAGCGGTTCGTGGGAAGAAGTTGTTCGAATAGAAATTGCAACTCACCAATGGAATATGAAGGGAATGAGGGTTTGATTCGCCACAATCTGTATTGCATGGCGGGTTTTAGCCGTGAATGTTAGAACTGGTGAAACTGCTTGATTTTTTTAGTTTTTTTTTATATTAAGTCTTTCTTATAATCATCCGTTTTCTATCTTCGTCTTTCCTCTTTTATTTATTAGGAATTTTCTAAAGTATTTGCTATATATATATATATATATATATATATATATATATATATATATATATATATATATAAAGACATGTTTCATTGAATAATTTACACAAATTTTGTCTACTTATTTTTTATTTGTATCCTTTCATATTCATGGAAAAGCTTTTTGGTGTCATTATTAAAGGAAGAGAAAAAATTAACGTGTTTATACATATTATGTATTCCGAGTATTTTCGACATTAGCACAATGTCAACATCAGGGTGGTGTTTATTTCAATGCAAATATTGTAATGTTCATCATTTTCATGAACAAAATAAAAATTTTGAACAAAAAGTAAACAGGATGTCATGTCGAAAGTACTCGGAATAAAATAATATGCATCGACATGACGATTTTCTCTCTTTATTTAATGA